ATCAAGTCTACACCAACCCTTCCAGGAGCATCCCACCTCCCTAACCCCACATTTCCCTATGGCTAATCTGCCTAGCCTGCACATCCCTTGGCAATCTACCTTATCTGCATATCTTTGGATTGTGGGAGGAAACTGGAGCACCCCAAGGAAACCCATGCAGATGGGGGGAGAAATATGCAAACTCCACACAGACAGCTGCCTGAGGCTGGAATTGAACCCAGGTCCCTGATGCTGTGAGGCAGCAGTGCTAACTGCTGAGCCACCATGCCACCCATCATCATCATCATCATCATCATCATCATCATCATCATCATCATCATCATCATCATCATCATCATCATCATCATCATCATCATCATCGGTCTTAAATGAATGGTGCCTTGTTTCTAAATAGTGGCGCATAGTTCTAGATTCTCCCAGAAGAGAAAGCATCCTCTCTACATCTTACCTGTTAAAGACCCCTCAGAATCTTAAATGTTTCAACCAAATCACCTCTGATTCATCTAAACTCCAGCAGATACAAGCTTAAACTGTCCGACTCTCCTTCATGACACAACCTTCCAAGGATTATTCTTAAAAAACCTTTTCTGACCTGCTTCCAATGCATTTACATTTATCCCTAAATAAGGAGAACGATGCTATACACAGTACTCCAGATGTGCTCTCACCAATGTCATTGTGAAATCTCATGAAGCAGATGTCTGTCTGTTTACAAGAGTAGTTTACTTAAATAATTGCATGGATTTCTGTGCTGAGAGGCTTGTTCTGACTTGCTACGTTAGAAGATGGATCTTCTAAACCCAATCAGGTGAGCGGACAGATCAGACTGATCAGCATCAAACATAGCGGTTCTGATGTTAATCAGAAAACTTGGGCCATTGTTGATCATGCATTACTATATTCAATACATGGTGTACCCTAGCTGCAATGTACACCTGAAATCCCAGCACCTAGATGAGCTACAGACTTTATACATTACACATGGGCTACCCTATGCTGATGTTCATGCTCCAGAAGCGCGTCCTCCTAGTTTATTTTATCTCACCCCCTATCAACATATCCTATTGCTTTTTTTCTATCGTATGTTGATCTAGCTTCCCCTTCAATACACCTGTGGAATTCATCTCAATCATTCCATATCGTAGCACATTCCTGAGATTAGACTCACATCTGTTCTTTGTGTAAATATTAATTCAAGTTCTTCAGTTCTGGACTTGAGCAGAAAAATAAAGATTGGCACTTTGGTGCAACACCAAGAGGGCGGTGCACTGTTGAAAGCGCTGTCTTTCAGACAAGATATTAAACTCAGGCTGTGTCTGCCCGCTCAGGTGAACATTAAAAATTTTTATTACATGAACTTTAAGAAGACGCAGGGAGTTATCCCCAGTCTTCTGGCCAATATTTATCCCTCAATCAATTTCACAAAAACAGAGTATCTTGTTGTCATCACATTGATGTCCGTGTAAGCTTGCTGTGCATTATCATTAACTGCCAGGTTTCCTATAATACAACAGTGAGTATATATCAAAATTACCTCATTGGCTCTGAGTGGTATGTGATGTTTTGAAGTTGAAAGGTGCCATATAAATGCAAGTCTTTCTTTAAATTACAACTACTCCTTTTGTTTGCCTAATATTGAATTCAAGGGAATAGCGCAGAGCTGGAGGAGAGTACCTAAATGAATAATTATTTAAGGTGAGAACGGAAAATCAGCATGTTATTTAAATGGAGAAAGATTGCAGAATTCTGAAGAATCGAACGATCTGGGTGTGCTGGTATGTGAATTGTATAAAGCTAGTCTGCAGGAACACAAAGTGTTCAGGAAGGCAAATAGAATCTTTTGTTCATTGCAAGGGAAATGACATATAAAAGTAGGATGCATTGTCACAGCTACAGAGTGTTGATGGGGCCACATCTAGAGTATTGTTTACAGTCTTTTTTGTTAAGAATGGATGTAAATACAGTAAAAGCAGTTCAAAGAAGGTTTGCTCAACTGAGATTGGGCCTGGGTGGGGTTGTGGTGGTGTGGGGGGTTATTTTATGAAGACAGATTAGCCCATATCCATTGGAGTTTAGAAGGATGAGAGGTGATCTTACTGAAACATATACAAGATCCTGAGAGGACATACTACGGGGGGTGTTTCCCTTTGTGGGAGAAACTAGAATTAGGGAACATAGCTTAAAAAAAAAGGACAAGGATAAGGAGATTTTTCTTCTCTCACAGATTCATGTCTCTTTGGAACTCTTCTCCCCAGAAAGTGTGTGGGGGCAGAGTTATATTAAAAGACAAATAGAGATAGATTCTTGACTAACAAGGGAATAGGAGGTTATCAGGAATAGGCGGGAATGTCGAATTGAGGCCACAATCAGATGAGCTGCGATCTGATTGAATAGCACAACAGGCCCGAGGAGTCAAAAGGCTTATACCTGATCTTAACCTGTGTTGAAACATACAGGATTGGCTGGGGTCTTGTGGTAGTGTCCCTGTCTCTGAACTGAGAAACCTGGGTTCAAGTCCCACCTGCTCCAGAGGTATGCAATAACATCCCTGAACAGGTTGATTAGGAAAAATAGGTTAAATTTGAAAAAAAAAACATACACGATTTAAGGAGAGGTGGTGGCATAGCGGTAATGTTGCTGGGTAGTAGTCCAGCAATTCAGGTTAGTGGGAACATGGGTTCAAATTCTGTGATGGTGAGATTTGAACTCAATGTAAATCTGGTTTGTTATCAGCTATCATTAAAAAAGCATACAAGATTCCTAAAGTCCTTGACAGGATAGATGTGAAAAGATTGTCTCTCATTTGGAGGAAGAGTCTAAGACCAGACAGCATAATCTCAGTTCAAAACAGGGGTTAGGGAAGAACTTCTTCTCTCGGAGGGCTGTAAATCTGTGGAATTCTTTGCCACAGAAAGCTGTTGAGACTGAGTCATTAAATATATTCAAGGCTGAAATAGACAGATTTTTTAATCAGTAAGACTCTCAGGAGTAATGGGGAAAAGGCAGAAATGTGGAGTTGAGGGTTATCATAATCGCATTGAATGGTGAAGCAGACTTGATGGGCTGATTGGCCTACTTTGTCTCATAAGTTTTATCGTTATCATCATATATAGTAAGGGACAGGCTCGAGGCTCTAGTTGAAGAAATCACCTTGGACATCCTGGCTTACAGAACACAGAACAAGTGAAGAGACACACAATCCGAAATTCAGCATTATTATTTTGTGCAGATTATAAAGTATTTCAAATAAATCTGTAGATGCACACCTTCACCATTTCAGAAGGTTAAGAATGTGCAAATCCTAATAATTATATTGGCTATTGTAGCATTAAGAAAGCCTCAGAGTACCAGAACTCTGCCAACACTCCTAATTTTACTCTGGAAAACAGGAAGTTTGGAACAAGTACTCACAGTTCTCACATTCTCAAGCCTCGGCTCCCCGCTATGTTTAAGCTAACAGTACAAGAAACTGAGGCTAGATTACAGAATAAAATTCCCTCCGTATAATCAGCAATATGAAGACAGGCAAGAGGGTGACTGTGGTTTCTAACTTATCATGAACAATATCATAGAAGATTCCCATTGACAGAACAAAAGTGATACACACAGGAGGGTAATTGTAACTGTGGATTTAGAACATTTTAAAAGGTAAAGTGGTTCAATTTTTCTAACTGTGTGGGTTGGGGCCAACTGTTTGGATGTAATTTCCAGTAGTTCAAAATCCACTGAGTATTTGAGGCCAATAATTTTTAGATTCAAAATATTTAAATGAAGTTAGTTGTTATGGACTGGACCTTGACTTTTGGTAACATTCTGGTTGGCTGAAACCTTTACAAATAAATACATACCTCTTTAATAAAATACATACGTAAGTTTTATCACATATTTTAAAGAAGCAAACTAATGTGGATGATGGCGAAATGGAATTAAAAACAAGTGCTAGAAAAGCTCAGCAGATCTAGCAGCATCGTGGAGAGGGAAAACAAAGGTGTTTGGAATGGAGGGGGAGGTGCTTAAATATTTAGCTTGAAGGATAAGTTCTCACTGGAATTAACCAGACAAATTACTCCACTACTAAGAATGGCAGTTATGTAATTCCCCTTTGTTTCTCTCTCCACAGATGCTGCCAGGCCTACTGAGTTTTTCCAGTGCTTTCTGTTTTTATTACAGTTTATGGTTTTTGTGCATGATTCAATATTTCACTCTAGGAGTTGTCGGTCAGTACACTCTTGCAGAAGAGAAACAGTATTTAATTCTTGAGGAAATCACATAAGATTTCAAACAAAGAATTAAACATGAACACACTAACAGATGACCAATGATGGGTGGGACAAGATTGGTCTATCCAGTCTGTCCCACATAACTATAAATGTCTCAGTCTTTGCAATATATACACTCCCCAGCCTATGCTGCATATCATTCCATGCTAAAATGTTGTTGGTGAATATAATATGTGCTGCTTTGAAAACAATTACTGTAGTTCTTTCTGGAGAAAATATGCATGTATTACTCGTGCACAAAATAATTTGCTGATAATTGGAATAAATCAATTCAGCTCAACACTCAGAAATCTCCAAGATCATATCAAATTTTTGAAAACAAGCCTAGGTTCAATATTAACTGGTGCTTACCTCCCTTTCACAATTACAAGAGGATAATGTAAATAATTTTATTTAATAATGATACATTTATAGAATGCAATTATTTCCCAGATGGAAAAATATTCATTTCATTTTTGCATTTTTCTGCATTTTTATCCTGTAGTGCAAACTGCTTTAAAAGTTTAGGTCAAAGAAAGACAGATGGCATGATGGAATACTTGAAGAAGATAGCAAAGTTCATACACAGTGCAAAGGAGGCTAGCCAACAACTGATGGCTTCACTTATTCCTGGGCAAGTGAACAGTCAATCTTGTTGGATCAGACGTGTGATGCCTTAGAGCAAAATGATCTCATCTCACTTGGTTAGGCTACCAGATAATTAAATTTGGGACATCTTACCAGTTCCACACGACACGGTGCATTCACTGCTTCCAATTTGTTTCCAATTGAATTCCCTCTTTTTCCTTGGCCCCTCTCCCCAGGAGTGTAACACTTCTCCAGGGCTCGTTTGGTACTTTCTGGACTGCAGTTGGTTTGCATGGACTCCACTGACAAAGTTTTCCGCCTCTCTTTCACGGAGAACGTACACGTCACCATCGGCACCATATGACAACTGACCATTAAAGGCCTCTCCTGCAATGGATGGAGAGGTTTCAAATTTTACATTGCAAACAGCAATCAAAATGCGAAGTGGTGTAGCTAAGTGAGAGGCCTAGTGGAAGCAGGGGGGGAGCAGCTGCAATTTCTTCTGAACTGCTCCTGTTTTGCCACTGTAACAATGATGGAAATGGCCAGGTTAACTGAATTTTGACTGCACTGTTGGTGAGGTTAGGGGAGGAGAAACCCGAAGTAAATTCCAGTCCATGGTTGCTGAATATTTTGAAATTGTTACATCTGCCTTTGTAACATGTCAGTTCTCATATTCTTCCTACAGGAAAGGAGATGGAATGAAGGCTTTACCTGTGACAAAGTTGAAAAATAAAGGAACTGAAGGGCTACTCAGAGATTAATGCACGTTTTCTCTACAATTTGGACTTGGTAAAGCTCTCTGATAGAAACAGCTCTAAAAAATTATCTATTCACAGACTGAAAAACAAACGAAAAAAAAGAGCAAAACTAAAAGTTAACTGCAAAATTATCATGGAACATATAGACTATCTCCACTTATCAAGGAGCAATGAGGTCTTTCAGAGGCTGTGTTGGTTACTGCCTGGACTGGCCTAGGTGATGATATACAACTGTCACTCGCACAAATGCCAACCAACTGATCATGTGCTACTCATGGCCCTTATGGATGGCATCTCTTCAAGATCTGGGTGACCTTGGCTCAAACCCCACCCCTGTGGTCATTTCCAAATAGTCTTTAAACAGTTTGAAACCAACCAATGACCATTCCTTGGATCCAGATACCTCCAAAGCAACAGCCACAAAAGATGATGACTATGACCTTTCTTACTGCAATTCTATTGCACTAATTCTGCCATTTTATCATACTGACTTATTGTGAGATGTTGGTTCGGCATTAATAAGCTAATTCAGGAGGAACAACCTCCCATATTGGCAAAGTTTCACTTTTAATTTTTTTTTAGGTTTCACAGATGCTGAGTACCCGAGCTGTTTTCTCTGTTTTGTGAGTGCCTATCCTTCTATTTCAAATAATGAACCCTCCAGTGTGGCTGAATCTTAACTGCCCCTTGAAATGGCCGAGTAACCAATCATCCTGCAGGTCTACTTATGGCATTTGGTGCAGAGTTGCACATGGTACTTGGGGTAGAGAGATGCATGGTTCATGGTGTACAGTGGCATATGGTACATGAGGCAGAGTGGCGTATGGTCATGATATAGAGTGGTATATTAAAGAAATGTTCTATTGGCAACATGATCTTGGCACAAAGGATATAAGATTTTACCTAAGTGTTCATCTGCTGTATGGGCTAGTGAATGGCTGTTGACAACGTTATCAGTTGGTAAAACATATTCATACTGCACCTTAGGATTTGCCTGTTGATATATCATCTGGAAAAGATGAAAAGACAAAGAAAACTGTGAAACTAAATAGAGAAAAAAATCTTCAATACAGCTTAAAAGCGGTTCGACATCAAAATTAATTCTTAAAGTATCCTGAATCTAAATTTTGACTGAATGTTCAGTGTGCTGAAATTAGCATTCTCTGAACTTATAAATGCTCAGATTTGGCTGTGAAAATAACTTTGATTGATCTGAATTATTGTCACGTGTACCTAAGTACAGTGAAAAGCTTTGTTTGTGAGCAGTACAGGCTGATCATAGTTGGCAAGAACACACAGATCATAGAGTGCTTAGACAGAGTGAGGCATACAGGATACACTGCACAGGGGTTGCACGGAGCAAGATCAACATTACAATGAGGTTCATGGAAAATTAACTATTATACATCTGGAATCTCTTTCCCTCAGGTTTTAATGGTTATTGGAAAATTAAAACTTTTGTTTTCTTTTTACAAAGGGTTTATTACACAGAAACTGGCCTTTCAGCTGAACGCTATTACAATCCCTATGGAGAAACCATAAGCCAAAGGAACCAAATTTACCAAATGACCCCTGAATGAAAAAAAAAACAGCTACCTTCCACGTTTTGTAACTTCTACTTTAACAGAGATCAGAAAAACTGCAAATTAAACATGAAGCAAAAGGCAAATGATACTTCAACTAACAAAGTATTCACTTTAAGTAGTCGTTACAAAAAGGAAACATCTTTCACAACCAAAAATATCTGTATCATTCTCCACAGTCAGTGACATCACATTCAGGTTTAAAGTTCTCTGACGCACCCCTCTGGAACTTGCACTTGCCAACTCAATTGATTTGTGCTTGCATTGTGTTCACCAGAAGTTGTATTCCAACTAATGACCCCAGAGATAGTCATTACCTAAATGGCAAATGATTGCAGAACACCTTTACTGAGGTTCACAACAGTCTCGATGAGACAGATTCCAAAGGGATACCTTTATCTGATCCTTTTAATGAGCCTCATTGGATGGTCTGGTTAGCATCTAATTTGCCATGCACAATATTGTGGAGGTGAAATAAGAAAGGGCAAGTCTACCTAACAGTTAGTTTATTGACTCAGTAAATTTGGGATCACCAACTTTCTCACTAATCCTTAAATTTATATAAATATTCTTTGCAACCATTAAATCTATTTTAACTTTCTCTCCCCATTGACTGAGAATCTTTATTGGTTCTCCAGATGCAGGAGACCCTGTAAGACCCCACTTGTTGCCAATTCTTTAATTTTCTTGCGAAAATTTCAGTCAAACACCAGAGTCACGAAGAAGCCAAGCTTGTACTTTCCCTTAAGGACATTTGTGAACAAATTATTTTTTACTATTGTTCTGGCAACATTTATGATCACTATTTTACCTTTAACATTATCTCTAATCACAAAATTTATATCAACAGTCACATCAACATTATATCATTATTTTCTCCAATCACCAAAACTTTATGAACATTACTTACAATTACTGACATGCTAACAATCTTTCCAAGCTTTATTTTAACATGATATGTTAATGTTCTATTCCGTCAATCATTTTATATCGACATTTTCTTTACGTTCTAATTTATTTCTATTTTTCTGAGGTTCTACAACTCTACAGTTAGGGTTGACTGATGGCCAGATTCTTGAAGCTTTCTTTGTCTGGAGTTTTTCTGTTCAAATCCCAGAAGGTTAGAGCCTTTGATTTATGAACAAAATCAAAATGAAGCTTTGTTGGCATTTCAAAGAATTGCCCAGCTTAGATCCAAAGTTTAAACTTACGTAGACATCCAGAATTTCACTGGTTGGCCCCTCGGCAATCAAGGATTCCCCTGCTGTCGTACTAATTTCATTTGGCCTCTTATACTTGAACAGGGTTCCTGCTGCTTCGTAAGTGCCTGGCCTATCTATAGCCCAGTTTCCATTAATGATGGGGTGGCCAAAGTGACTTCTCAGAGCTGCAGATACAAACAGATACAAGGCAGTGAACATCAGCTAATAAAAGCCAGATCACAGGAGAATAGCATTCTGAAACAACGAATGCAAATATTTTTAATTAGTTTTAATTCTGAGGCCTTTCTATGGACGTCTAGAACAGAAATTGTAATTAGCACGTTGAGATCAAGTGAACACAAAACAAAAAGGGACGCCTAATTAAAGATCTTCCTTCAGACAAAGTAGGAAAAAGGTAGGGATGCTGAATTGTGGTCGGAAACATGTACAGGATACCAAATGTACCGTCTGATTGATCCAGCAGGCTGACCAGACAGTAACAGAACATATAAATTCAAATTAAAAATTGAGATAAAGGCACCGCATGAATTTATTCAAAACAAGGCTTACGGTAATTATGGAGTACAGACAATAATAACAAAGCATTTCAGAATCCTTAGAAGTCTTTCAACAGAGTCCTGTGGCCTATGCAACTCTGTATCAACCCTGCTAATGCAGAATTAAATGGCTGAATTGTGTGCAGGGAAGATACAGTCCACAAAAGTGAAATGCACCGAGGACTAATAAACTGCCCACTCCCCCCATTAGGGAAAGAGACATCTGGTGGCAAGTTTAACCTGGGGGTTACCAAACCTCAGGTGAAGGGTGAGGTTCAGAAAGTAGCCTTTCAGAGTGACCTCAGCAGGTATGAGGAATTGAACCTGTGCAGTTAATGATACACTGCATTATAAATCCAGCCATCCAGCCACTGAGCTAAGCAAGGCCCATTCCCTGTTCAGGCAGCTTCTTACACAATAATAGTAGATCTTTCACAACACACAACTTGAATAAATACGATCACCTGGTTGAATAGAAACAGAACACATTTTCCATTACCATCTAAGAAATTGGTGATTACATCTTCATGAAATATCACTGGGGCAGTAATGTTATAAATGCTGATGTTCATTCAAAACTGGTTCTGACGAGGTTAAATTGACAGGATAGTAGGTCTGGAAGAAATTGATTAAGTTTCAGACACAGTACCTGAAACATGCTTCAGTTAATCAAATAATTTCAGGTTTTTGCTGGCTGCTCACATATATTCGAGTTGATGATTCAAAGTATTTGAAATGTGCAGCTAACATTCAAATTTTGGGGTGAAAATGAACAAAATAAAGAGAAGGATGCACACTCTGGGAAGCTTTTGTAAATAAAATCTGCAAGAGTAGGGTTTACTTAGCCTGGTCCAAAAAGTTGCAAAATGCCAGGGTGCAGGAGGGTGGTTAGAATTTAGAGCCAAAAATAGAAATTGCTGGAAAAGCTCAGCAGATGTAGCAGCATCTGAGGAGAGAAATCACAGTTAATGTTCCTCAGAACTGAAGAAGGGTCACTCGACCCAAAACGTTAAATCTGATTTCTCGCTAGAGATGCTGTCATTCTTTCGTAATTCTTTCGGTTTTTATGTGCTTAGAATTTACTTAGTCTCATTGTTTGACTTGAACAATCTCAAATAAGGAATTGTAGATTGTGCATTAAAATTAATAAGTTCTAAATGTATTGTCTGTTTAAGTATGTGATGAGGACAGAAAATTAAATAAAGATAGCCAGTGAGTGAGGCAAATGAGATGGCTAAGGGAGGGGATCTAGATTATGACCAACATGTTCCCTTTTTGAGATGAATTGTTGGGGTGAGTGGTTTATGTGTTGGCCAACTCACATGCCCAATGTCATTGAATTGTGCACTAATCAGCTTGTTAGGGACTGACTGGAGAGTATCTCAGTGACTCACAGGTGTCGACACTAGCATCCTGGCTGCCAGCCAATTCGAGTTTGTCAGCTTCTAGGTCCCTGAAGACTGTCAGTCCAGGCCTACTCTTCAGGGAATGCAATGGCAGGAAGGTCTGTCTTCATCTTTTGCTCCTTGTGGGGCGAGAGGGGTCGGAGGCAAAGGCAGAGAGTTAACTTTCAGAGGTCACCTTCATGTTCCCCCATATGTGGATTGGGTGGACAAATGGAAGTCCTGCTTCAAACTCAGTGGGCACATCACCATGTTTACCCGGTTGGAAACTAATCACTTTTATCGCCTGCTGGGAAGGCAGGTAGGTAATTGATAAATGGCAAGTGGGGGCCCTGAAATTTCTGAGCATTGAGAAAGTCCCCAAAGGACCTTCTTACCCAACACTTAAGTGAGTGAGGTGGTGAGAAGGGGGCAGCTATCATTCCAGTGCCAACTTACACTAATGCTTTCCCGTTTGTTATGGATCAGACCAGACATACCCACCCAACATGTAGTAAACAGATAGCTTAGACTCTAACTTATATGTTTATTTAAAGGCAAGCGTAAGATACTGTGTTCCAGATGTATTTTCATTGGTCTATCACTAGGCTTTATGCAAAACACACTTTATTCTTACAACACAATTAAAATGCGAACAAAAGAAGAACCGGCATAACTTTAATCCTTTTGAAATACTTAACAAGACAATATATGATTTCATCACTAATCATCAACTGTTCCAATATAGGCAGCATCCCACAAACACGCCCTTGGCAAGGCAATTTACCAAAACAGTTTTATTCTCACGTGCTGACTTTCTCCAGTCTAGCCGAAAGAAATTTTTAAAAAAGGAACAATCTGCCTCTTTTATTTCTAATAGGAAAAATTTTCTGTCTAAGTCTAAGTTTTCATCAGGAGCAGTGAGAGACAGAGTTCTAAATATTAACTCCAGCAGCTAGCTAACTCAAAATCAAACTGAAAGCAAAACCCAAACTCCCTTGGTTCTGTAGCCCTGACCCCAGCCACTCATGCTTCTTTTGTCTAATTTGAGACTCAGTGAGAACTCAAAAGCTGTTTAACACTGCCTGTCTGAACAAGACATTTCTGCACCAATGTGGCAGCACCTCTCTGCAAGAGAAACACGAGAGAACACATCTCTCTTAAAAGCCCAGTACTGTCACACATTTCACCACCTCCATGGTGGAGAACATTGCAATCTATGTTTGATAGTGCAAAACATGCAACCAGTGATTAGGTTGCCCACTTTATGTCTATCCCAATTTTTTTATTTCGACTGTCTTCAATTCCAGGGACAGTGTGTCGTGCCCTATCAACTTCAGCTGCTTCGTGAATAGCCATTCCTCCAACATAAGGTGCAAAGTGAGGCTACTTGCTGATTATTATTCAGTGCTCTACACTATGCACAACTCCTCAGATGCTGAATCATGTAGTAAGCAAGCAGTAGGAACTGGACAAAATTCATGCTTGTGCTGACAAGGGGCAAGTAACACTTACACAAGTGCCAGTGAATGACCACAAGAAATAGCTTAACCACCTCCTCATCACAATCAAAAACATTAGCAACACTACCAAGAACCCTACCAGAACATTCTTGGGATTCACACTGATAGAAACTCAACCGAACCAGTTTTATAATAAATAAACCAACAAAGTATTATTGAAGTGTGCACTATGTAAAAAAAAAAGCTGCAGCAAGTTGCAGAGGCTACTTTGTCAGCACCTGCCAAACCCATGACCTCCAACAATCAGAAGGTCTGAGGCAGCTGGTGCATGGGAACATTTTCAGCTCTAAGTTCCTCACAAATTCACACATCATCCTGAGTTGGATATGTATCAAAGAGAAGCCATTATGGATTTGAAAAGGATGGCTGTACTTGACAAATTTCAATGTATTCTTTGAGATGTACAGTGCATGATAGATAGATTAAATGATACGTATATCATTCCCTAGGCATAGGGAATGCCTTTGACCAACTCCCATGTGGGAGATAGCTAGTGAATGTTCAAAAGGAAAAGTCCAAGCTAAAAGTAGCTTTTTGGGGTGGTTGAAAGTGACTAGTGATGTCTACAGGATTCAGTTCTGAGGCCACTCCTAATTGCAGTGTGTATCAGTGATTTGGACAATGTACACACTGGGAGTAGAATGGAAATTCAGTAATGACACTGAAACAAAAAATATGGTTAATTCTTTGAAAGACTAAATGAAGCTGCAAAGGGATGTCGATAAGATAAAGGAATAGGTTAAAACATGGCTGATGGAACTTAACGTCAGTAAGTATGTAGTGATTGGGACCAGGTGGACTTCATTGACTATGAGTTTCTTGATGGGGGCTGTTAACCTGGGCCAATCAGGAAAGCCTTGGCTGACCAATATAACCAAGAGATTAGAATCTCCTCAGTACAGGGGACTGATTTGGAGCTGGCAGTACACAGCCAGTGTACTGTGCACAAGTAAATAAAGGGCAAATTGGTGACGGGATACCAGCCTCAGTGCAGTTATTTCAAAGTGTGAGGTAAATATTTTGTTTAAAAGACAAAGGATAACATTCAATTAAAGGAGCTCAGTGCTGTGGAAAAGGATCAGAATTCTGGGTCATAGGTTCATAAGACAGGAACTGTAAAATCTCAGGTATATGAGACCTTAAAACAAAATACTTGGTTTTATCATAAGATGTATAAAATGTTGAAGGTAAGAAGCAATGTCAACTATAAGGGTGAAGTCACCATAGTCTCACTCCCTCCTTAGACAGAAGCAAGTGGTGATGAGTTTAACCTGAGGATCACCTCAGGTTGAGAGGGCAAGATTGAGAGGGCAGGTCCTTCATGGCACCTTCAGCTGGTGTGGGAATTTAACCCATCTGTTTCACAAACACACCACCCAGCTGATTGGCCTTATCTATCCCGAACATTTTAATAAGATCTAATTTCAAGTCCTGTGTGTTGTATTGTGTTCCACAATCAAAGAAAGTGGTTGGAATTTTATAAAGGGCCATGCAGATGCACTAGGGTTCTGTCCGATTTGAAGAAATTCAGATCCAAAGATGTGTTTCAAAAATGGGGACTTACTTGTCAGGTTGAATTACTGAGATGACAGAAGTGCTTAAAATTATGGAAGTACAGACCAGAGTAGATAAAAGCAGAGTGTTTCCAATAGCTCAGTGGTCTAGAACAAGGGGCCATAAATTAAATGCAACAAAACTGAATGTTATCAGACTGGAGGATTCA